TGGATTCAGAGCTCCTGAGTTTGCGGTCCACCGTGCCTGGTATGTCTGTGGCTGACGTCCCTTGTGTCATCTCTTTGCGCTCTGCAACTTTGACGCAGTTGAAGTTAATGTCCGTCTTGCAGTCAGATCCAGAGTCTCGTTACTTGTTCCGTCCATGCCCAGAGCTGCTGCGTGTCAACGAGTCTGCAGATGCCTCCTTGCTGCACGGTGTCTTGAAGCAGATATGTGCCCGTGGCAGAGCTGGGCTGCCCGACGTTTCCAGGTTTTCTTCCAACGAAAAGGAGCTCTTGGAATCTCTGCAACAAGGCGGTTTGTTAACAGCAGACATGCCAATTCATTTTACTGATCGTGGTCAGGAACTTCTTGTTGTGGCTACCCGAGTCTCTCAGCCGAAACCACTCCTCAGTGTCGGCGATGGCCCAGTGCAGGACCGCAGCCGTTGGCAACTTTTGCAAGGCTTGTTAGATTCGGGTTGGGTTTTGCGCTTGGCTAGTGGCCGTGTCTGCCGCGAAGCCCCAAGTTATCTGCGCGGAGAAGGCGAGAAGATCCTTTATCTACAGCAATCAGAAACAAAGCAAAATGTTGTCTGTAGCCGACACTACCTTTTGGCTTTGACTCTTGCAGACCAACACGGACTGGCAGTGCCGCATGGGAGGACCAATGCTCAGTATAGCAGGATTCTCAGTGGCTTGGAGGCACTGCCGCTTGCGTTGCGGCAGGAAGCGGCCACTCGAAAGACTCGAAATTTCAGGCCATTGCGAGATGGAGACGATTGGTTAGATGCTGAGGTGGCTCCCAGGCCCAAGCGTCCCAGGCGCCGCAGAGCCGCGCTGGGCGATCAGGCAGCTGTTGCAGCAGGGCATCCAGTCGACGGTGACGTTGATGGTCAAGTCGAAGTCATGCCGCACGACGGTGATGATGATGGTGATGCGTATGATGCTGAGTTTCATGCTTTGAGCGTGGATGAGCAAGTGCAAGCGCTTCTTGCTGAGATTGACAGTGATGGCGGCGATGTCTTGAGTGATGCTGATGCTGCTAGTGAGCCTGACAATCCTGGCAGCAGTTCCAGCAGCGGAAGCAGTGACTCGTCGTCTAGTTCGAGCACAGAGGAAAGCAACAGCAGTTCTTCTTCATCGTCATCATCTTCATCTTCTTCTAACCAGGAGGTGCGGCCTGCAGCGGGGGCGGCCTTGGCCAAAGCAAAGCCCAAAGCAAGAGCGAAGCAACCTCCTCGAGCCGGTGTTGGGGTTCTGCTTCCCAGCACATTCTATTGGCGAGGTTGCAGAATCACAGAAAAGCGTTCCGGCGTAGGCCAGCCGGCCCACGGTCTGGAGGCCTCCTGCAGGCACCCTGAGCACGAGGGTGAAAAATGCAGACGTACGTTGAAGTTTGATCGGCATGGAGGCCGCGATATGACTTTGAAGAAGCTCAAGTGGTGGCTCCTCCAGGCATCTTTGTACGGAAGCAAAGACGAACACGTGCGTGTTTGCCCATACACATGGGACGGCAACGAGCCTGAAGACGACGATTTGGATGCAACCGCATTCGGGTATTGATTGCACATTGCAGTGTATGCCTGTGCTGCAGCGCACGCAGTTTCACATGTCGGTGACACACCACCGCCCCGAAGCCCCGAAGCAAAGCAAAAGTTGTGTCATTGAAGCAGCAGTATCGCTAATCAGTTGTGTCGTGAGACAGTGACATGTCAAGATGTGAACATTGCAATGTACATGTCAGTACGTGCAGAACATGTCGTCAAGGAGTTGCAGTGCGGCATTGGCAATGTCTGCGTCGTCTTCTTTGTCTATGTCCGATCGAGTTTTCCTTCTCTGTGTCTGTGTGTCGTGCTAGCACTGTAAAAAGGCGTGTGCTTCTGATAAATGACAGCTCGAGTGAGACGGTGAGTCCAGGAGGTCAGTGGCATGTCGGTTGGACAAATGCAGGGGCTCTGGGGGTTGTGCCGGTGCATGGGTTGGGCTAAGAACTCGCAACTTTGTATTTGCCAGTTTGGGGGCAGCTTTGTTGTACAACTTTTCCAAAAGAACCATATTGCGCGAAAGTGCGCTCTGGAGCTGTTTTGCATGTTCTTGCGCATTTCCAAGTTCTAGAGAGTGCTTTTGCTGTGCTACAGCCTGTTTTCACCTCCCAATGACACAGTCGTTCCCCTCCAGGGTCTGTCCAGTGTCTGGGTTTCTCCTCCGGTTCTCCTCCGGTTCTCCTCCGGTTCTCCTTCGGTTCTCCTCCGGTTCTCCTCCGGTTCTCCTCCGGTTCTCCTCCGGTTCTCCTCCGGTTCTCCTCCGGTTCTCCTCCGGTTCTCCTCCGGTTCTCCTCCGGTTCTCCTCCGGTTCTCCTCCGGTTCCTCTCCCACCCCGGGTTTAGCTTATGCCGAAGACCTGGTTGTCACTCCTTTAAATGAGTTTGAGTCCACAGGATGATGTTTCAGAGCGCAACGTGCCTGCACTCAGCCAAATGCGCTGTTGAACTATATGTTTGGCTTCATTTCAGTGTCTTCGACCTAAACAGGAGCACTTTCGAGCAGGAGCGCACTTTTGGAAAAGTTGGTCGGCTAAGTCTGTCGCCGGCTTTCTGTTTGTCAAGCATAGGAAAGGAATTTGTTGAGGTGAGCAATCGAGGCCGGGCCAGGCCAGGATGGAAGGGTTGCGGGGTTTCTGGTGTGAGTGTTTGTAGCGTGGTAGCTTTATCGATCGAGGTGCCTCTTTGTTTGTGTGCTCACTACCCGGCGGATTCTTAGGATATGCGCGCGCATCCTAAAATCGTTCTGGGTTTCACACTTCGGCAATAAGGGTACTATAACATATCGGGACCTGAAGAACTAGAGTAGGGTGTTGGAGTACTATACCACTCACTTATTGGAGCCGCTTTCTTCGGGAATGAGTGTTTGTAGCGTAGTAGCTTTATCGATCGAGGTTGCCTCTTTGTGTTCCTAGTCATATATGGACTAAGCTAGAAACACCCATCCCCAAAGAAGGCAGCTCCAAAACGTGAGTCGAATGGCCTCGTTGTGCGGGGTGTTGAGACACGGCATTCATCCCGGTTCGCTCGGCGTGGCCGCCTAAGCGGCGAACTGGACTCAGCACCAACATTCTTGGAACATGTCACTCGTGTTGCTTTTGCTTGCTGCTGTGAGAACTTTTTCTTAGGGGGGGCCACGGGGCCACAGGAGGGAATGTCTGCAAGCCTACAGAAAACAGGGAAAAGCAACCCCCCCCATCTCGGCCCGAGAAGGGGGGGGTTGCCTCAGGGCCAAGAACAAGTATTTCTGCAAGCCTACAGAAAACAGCGAAAAGCAACCCCCCCCATCTCGGCCCGAGAAGGGGGGGGTTGCCTCACACATGTAGGGAGGCAGGCAGGCCTCACGCGGGCGGGCGGGCAGGCGGGCAGGCAGGCAGGCAGGCAGGCAGGCAGGCAGACCGGCGCAGATGCACATACATGCAAACGCGCAGACACAGAGACTCAGATGACTCAGAGGCACACCTTCTCCGTCTCTCTGTCTCTCTCTCTCTCTCTCTCTGGCTCTCTCTCTGTCTCTCTTTCTCAATCAGAAGCTTCAGATGTGCATGTTTTCGGAGGCAAGCAAGCTGCTCTTTTGGTGTGCTTGTTGTTAGGAACAGCAGAAGAGACCGCATGGCATGGTGTTTCTCGAAAACTGCAGATTGCTAGATATAGTTTGCAAATATTCAGTCTGTACAGGGCGGCACGAATGCAACAGAAGCCGAGCAGGGAACACAGTGTCCTTGCAAGCACCCGTGCTTGATCCGCCATGGACAGGGTTCAGAGTTCCGCCGAGCAAGTCTTGGGATATCCGGATCACTTGATTCAGAAATGCATGGCGGACTATGAGAGACGGGCTCACCTGGAAGCCGTGCGGTTTTCTGGGTTGAAAATCATGAGTGTTTGCAGCGGCATTGATGCTGCTGGTGAGGCCCTGCGATTGATTCAGGCATCGTGCAAGAAAGCAGACCCAGGAGGCTTGGATTCCTGGGTTACTAAGACTTCCTTCTGCGATTCGGGCAAAGAGCAGCAGAGCTTTCTTTGCATGCTAGCAGAGTTGCAGGGGCTGCAAACTGGACACTCTCCCTGTGTATTCACTTCGATATAGAGGCTCGTGTGCCAGCGGAGTTTTTGCCTGGAGTCTTGCTTTCTCCAGTCCCAAAGGCCAAAGCTAAGCAGTCGGGCGGGCTGAGCGCGGCTGATTTTGAAGCATTGGCCAAGGAACTAGAGGAGAGGCCGGCCGAGGCTTTCCCACGTGATGCACGGGCTCATTGCCTCGTGCATGATCAGCAGTGTTTCGTTCGGCCAGTGCGGGACGGCACAAGGCCCAACACTTTGATCGAGACAGGAGCTTCGGACCAGGAACGCACAGAGTCGATTGTGATGTCAGCAGGTGGCCTTCCATGCGTCGCCTGGTCGAGGGTAGGCCTGCGTCAAGCAAGTGGGCATGTCTCAGAACGTGCCTTCCAGGTGTGGCTCGCTGAACGTCGGCAGTGGGCTTTGGAGGATTCTGAGGATATGTTCCTCTTTGAGAATGTCGTGGAATTTCCAGCCCGTCAGAAGATCCAAGATGCATTGCTGGACACTCACCATGTGGTCGTTCTGCGACTGGACCCACAGGACCGACCCGTTGCTTGTGTTTCGGTAGGCGTCTGAAGTCTTAAGTCTTGTGAGTCTGTCCAGTGAAAACAAAGCCAGTTATGAAATCATGTATGTGCAACAGTGAGACAAGGAAACTTGTGAAATCATGTATACGTGCAACGTACACTGTGAGAGATTGAGACAGCTCCCAGCTGAATGAGAATGCAGAGGGTTTAACTGATCAGCCAGTGGCCGTGTCTGTGTGTGTGTGTTGTCCTGGTCACTGAGAATATGGTTGTCAGGCACTAAATGCTCTTGATGCATCCATATAGCTTTTTCTCGTTTCAGCAGGGCAGCTCGGCTGTTCTGCCAGCCTGTCCTGTGGCACTCAGCTTTCCAGCCTCTCGATGGACTCGCCAGCCAAGTCTCCAAGACCGACCGACGAGCTTCGTGGCGGGGTCCTCCCGCAAGCCAAGGCCAAGGAAGCTCCGAAGCCGTCGGGGAGACTGCTGACTCAGAGAGACTTGGAATGCTTCGCGATTGATTGTGAGCTGGAAAGGCTGAGAAACCAGAAGTGGTGTGCCGGGCACAAACGTGCCTATGCAGCGATCATGGCACAGGCGAGAAAGGATGGCAAGCTGGAAATCGCGAAGGAGATCATGGCTGATGACGAGCGCTGTAAGATCTGCATGCGAGAATATTGTGAAAAGAACCCGATCAATGAGCGCTGGTCGCGGAAGCGACTCATCGAATGGTCTCAATTTTGCGAGAGGCATGGCCGACGAGACTACGATGGAGATCACGAGGGAGATGCACCGATGACCGAAGCAGAGTTCCTCAACTGGGCTCAACAGATCAAGCGGTTGACGGCCACAGGCGCTCGACATTGGTGGACTGAGTTGAAGGACAGCAATGCCAGGCGAGATTTCGGTGGTCGTGATTCCGAAGGCAAGCTGGGTGCTGAGCGCATCTGGATTCCTTGCGCCCAGGAACGTCACGAGCGGAAGAAGGGCCGCTTCGGGGAGATTGGCGTCTCCCAGGGAAGCAAACAGATGAAGAACCTCGACGATGAGTCCTTCAATCAGCTGCTGGATTACGCAGGCAGCAAGTCTTTGGATGTTGACTTTGTGCGTGGGAACAGCAAAGGCTCGAAAGAGCCCGGGCCCCTTGCGACTTCCGTGGCTGCGACGAGCAGCCCATCGCGCCCATTGCCTGCAACGACGATCGTGGCTGCGGCTGAGGAGAAGGCAGAGACGACTCCGAAGAAGTCCGTGGACCTGGCTTTGGAGAAGCCGAAGCAGGAGACCAGGCTCACGAAGGAGATGAACACCTTGAAAACGTCCCTCTGTGAGTGCGCAAAGCAGGCCATCGAGCAGCAGGGCAAGCTTCCGGAAACGAAGGACAGTCGGTCTACATACACATCCATGCTGTTAACTAACCGTAACCATATACCCCAATAACTGAAACACATTTCAAGCTTCGTTCTGCTTTGCATGAGGACGATGCACTGGCGACTCTTGTGCAGCATCTAGACCATCGTCTCTGCTGCTTCGCCGCACTTGTCAATTACCCGACAGACCTCGAGGACTCGGCGACGCAGCAGATGGTCAACACGCTCACGGGTCAGACATCGATTGCTGACCTCCTCGCTGGCCACACAGACAAACTTCCAGTGCCGGAGGCGATGCAGAAGGATCTCGTGTCTTTCGATCAGGTCAAGGCGAACATTGAGGCCCTCAAGAATGCCGGCACGGTTCTTGAGCTCGATGAAATCAAGGAAAAGTTTCAGCAGCACAAGACGGCCCTCAAGACTTTCGAGAAAGGCCTTGCTCAAGTTTCGAGAGATTGCAAATCCCATGTGCAGCAGCTTGAGAAGGAGGAATCTCGCAAGCAGAAGGCTGAGGGGAAGAAGAAAGGCAAGGCTGAGCTGGATGCTTTCAGGGAGAGCAACAGCCAGCGTGCGAGGGCCTTGCTGGAAAGCAAGACGGGTGCAACCGTCAAACCGCTGTACAAGACCTGTCAGTTCTTGTACAAGAAGTTCGCTGAGGGCACTCTTCCGGAGGAGTACAAGGACAAGGTCAAACCCTTCGTGAAGTATGCAAGTGGCATGGACTTGAGCTCCAAGCCGTGGTTCGCCACTGCCAAGGAACACCAGTGCTTGGAAGCATGGTCCGTGGACGCAATCATGCAGAAGACTGTGGTGTCTTGGGCCGTCAAGTACAAGCAGCTCCCGGACTTCCAGCAGAAAAGCCGTGCCTCCGCCGCCCTCGAGCCCAAGCACGGCCACGAGCAGTGCGATGACTTGTGGCGGAACTTCGTGGCTGAGTCGGACGTGCTGACTTGCGATGCGATGCCTTCAGCCGCCACGTTTGCCAAAACCAATTGGATCGCGGGCTACTCACCGGACATGAAATTCTGCGGCCTGCAAGCAAACGGAGCTCAGACCTTGAAGGTGGCAACTTTGGGCGATGTGCTTCACATTTGCTTTCCTTTGTCGACGACTGTTCCAGCTGCCCAGAAGCTAGGATTCATCCAGGACGGCAAGCCTTTGCCTTCCACAGAGGCGTTCTGTGAGGTCATGGAGCAGATGGAGCTGAAAACCTTGGTGGAGTTCTTCAACCAGGGCGTGGAGGTTTATGCTCACTGCTTGAAGGCTGGGGAGATGATCAGCTTGCCAATGGGATGGTTCAGCGTGGAGATTTCCATGAGCGGGACAATCCTTGTCAGCGTGCGGAAGGGGGTTTTCCTCAAGAAGACCTCCAGCGAAGCAATCAAGGATTACGAGTCTTTGATCCAGTTGCTGCAGCATTGCTCCAGAAATGTGGATCGATACCACGAGCTGCTCAAGCTCCTGAAGGGGAGTGCTGAGGCGAGTCAGGAGGCTCCGACGGCAAAGCCTGATGCAGCTGCATCCTGATCAATTTTGCAGTAGGCTGTCTGTGCTTGGTGCAGGCTCATGTCGGGGGTGCAAATGAAAATGATTGTAAAGATCATAGAACATGTTGCCAGATGTAAGCCATTTTCTTCAGCCTGTGGGTCCTCGCATAAAACCTCCGGAGCCTCGAGGCCTCGAGCTGACAGACGTAGGTTGTGACTCTGGCGAGGTGACGCCTCTTGTGCTAATCACCTGGCTGATGAGATCCGATGAGTTCTCTGGTAATTTCAAAACACGTTTTCCTGGAGCAGTGCAGTAGGAAATCCAACAGGAGCTGCTTGTCGCAGTTGGGTGCGATTCTCTACGCGCTAACGGATGCTCAGCCTGTCGAGCTTTGTGAGAAAACGGTTGTTTGCGAATCATTGCTTATGATCATTTCTAGTTCCTGCAGTGCACATCGCGCAGCAATCACACTCCGCACATAGAGATGTCTCGGCCAGGACCTCGGATTCCCTTGCCACCGACCTCGTCTCTACGTGCTTGGATTCAACAAGCGACGCATTGCTTGGCAGCAAGCAGAGAACGAGAGCCAAAGATTCTTGCAGATATTCGGCAGTGCTTGCGAGGTGTATGGTGATGTTTTCATGCAAGACTCATGGACGTCCAGGCGTGCCGCTATGGAGGCGAAGATGTCTAAACGTGGAGTTCACATATCTTCGTCTTGCCTTGCAGATGAGCCTGCAAGCCGAAGCGATCGCCTGCGTGTTATCCAAAGTGCTGTGTGCCCTTCCTCAAAGCAGCATGGGATGTTGTATGACGAGCAGTTCGCAAAGCGAGCCCAGCCTGCCGTGCCCTTTTTCAGTGATTGGGAGCAGCACCCCGTCAGGGGATCCTGTACACCAAGTGAGGCTGTGCCATGCCTTTTGACACACGGCACTTTGGTGGAGCACAGCTCGGGCAGGCTCATGACATTGAACGAGATCTTCGCTGTGCAGGGTTGGGGAACTTTGCCCACATCAGGGTACCCTTCGGACATCCTTGAGACGATCAATGCAGCCAAGTGCCAGCCTAATCATGCAAGGACGTTCGTGGGAAACAGCATGCACATCCCAACAGCGATGGCAGTGTTGCTGTATGCCTTCAGCCACATGACAAGCACACGCTCGTTGAATGATAAAGCTTTCAAGTTGATGCGGAGGGCCAGCAGTTGGAACTTGGAGCACGGTGCAGGCAGCGGCCCCTCCGTGCCGATTGGGGGTGATGAGCTGCTTGATGAGTCTGATGACCGTGGCCAGAAGCGCAAGGCATGTGTTTTCCGGACGCAGAAGAGCGATTTTTGCGATATGGACTGAGTGTACAGAGCCGAGACTCAGCCGAGACCTTATGCAAGTCTGGATGGAGTGAAATGATAGGCCGCCGTTCGTCAGTTTTGTTCTGTTGTGTGATGTAGTGCCGAAGTAGCAACATGAAGTCAAGTCGACGGCAGTGCCACTGCAGTCTCAACGGTTAGTCCCCAAACCTCAATCGACGAGCCTGGTGTTTAGGCGTAGGTATAATCGCTTTGTGCCTCCTGTTCTGAGTAGACCTCGTGACCCGAATGTTCATCCATCAAGTTTGAAAGCGCTTAATGGCATCTGGCAGTGTACCAAAGGTTCACGAAAGGCCCCCGTTTTCAGAGCTTCCTTCAAAGCCCACGCATCGTTGTAAGCCTCAAGCCCCGCCCGAAGCCAGACACGTGTCGGGATAGAATCCCGCCCTCAGCATCCCGAGAACAATTCAAGCCACCGCAAATGTCGCAAGCCCCAAACATCCCCAAACTACAGCTTCAAGCTTGATTCGTGATACCTAACCGCCTTCAGAATTGTAACTGCCAGCCGCACGAAATCGGGAATCACAATTTACATACAAATACAATATGTTTTTTATATTATACAAACACAATATGTATTTACGGGGTGCTATAATTTTAGGGTTTAGGGTTCCGGTTTCCGTACCAATAATTAATGTGGCTCAAACGGCTCAAACCGGCTCAAACCTCGAGGTTCAAGGACAGCTTCCTGGGCCCAGTCCCAGCGGGAATTCAGTATGGCCCAAACCGGCTCAAACCTGCACTCATAAAGGTTCATGGGCACGAAGATCCAAGCAACTGAACAAAATTAGGTCATGAGGCCTCAGCTCAAAACGTTGGGCTGCGAAGTTTCGAGAGCAAAAAGCAGCTGCAACATCGAAATAAGCCCATGAGGCCGATGAGCCCCCGAAATCACAACCTGAAGATCTGAGCATCTGCAAACTCGTTAAAGATCTGCAACCCCCGCCGCTGATATAGTTATTTTTCAAGGGTCGGCCCTCCTTCAGCCAGATCAGAAGCTTTGGTAGCCGGGGTGAGAGAGGCCCACCACAAACGCAGCAAGCGTTAATTTACTAGATCTGGATGACAGACTGCAAGAGTCTGGAGCTGACGCTTTCGAATCCGAAATGCAATAAGCATTCGGACAAGAGATTGAGCATCGAGATCGCGTCTCTCAGACAGGAGCTATGGCGCAAAGCTGGCGAGAAAGCAGGAGATCCGTTTTACGACGACTACAAGCCAGTGGATGATCAGTTAACTGACATCGTCAGATGGATAGACACTGACGTGATGATCGCTGATCCATTGACGAAGGTCATGGAGCCGGTCAAGTTGGTTGAAGCCCTGAAGACCAACACACTCGACGTAGAGCAGCCGCTCGAGAGTTTCGTGAAGAAGCGCGCCAAGCAGCTTCAGAGGAGGTCGACGAAGAAGGAAGAGGACAACGAGCAAGACCGTTGATCCTTGAGCACGAAGTCTCACCACACTGATGCTGTAAGAGTCACGGGTGTGAAACTAACCTGTTTTGCAGCGCGTACAGTGTGTGTACCTAGTGTTTTGTACAGTCGCAGACGTTCCCCTCTACCGCAGGGGCCCCTTGGACCAAGCCTACGGCTTTGCGGAAAAGTGACTAGTCTTCGCGCAATGAATAAACAATCATCGTGGCATTCAGGAAGCAGGTACCACCGTTCGAAAGAAGGCTTGACAATCGCATCGTGCTCATTCAGGACATTGCTCAGATCCGATAAAGCCCTTTTTGTGGAGGCACATTGCACTGTACAGTGGTCGTGCTCACAGTCGGGCAATGTTCTGTACAACATTGAATCCGAGAACTTCATTCTCTGCAAACCACAGAAGAAATCCATTCCACATTTAAACATAGACTTCACATTCCAAAACATGTGGAATTCACCGGGGCGCTCCTTTATTTCCGATGCGACTCAGTGCGGCTAACTTGGCCGTGGCATTCGCATTCATCCGGAGCACCACTTCAGCTCCAGGAACAAGTGTATTCGCGACATTTGCGAGGGCAGTCGCCGAGCTCGAGGGTGCCATTGTTCTTTGCCTTCTTCGATGGCATTCCTGGGCTCGACGAGGCGGGACGATTCAGCTCGCCATCATCATCTTCATACAGTTCATCCCAAGTGGAACTGACAGACAGGATGACAAAAACCGGAAGCACTCGCCTGCATCAGTGGGACCAGGTGTGTCCCATCAAGCGCCACTGGACCAGGCCAGTGGGCAGCACAGTGGCCAGGCGGCTCCATTCCACCATTTCTGCGAGGCAGAGAAGCAGGCTGCCATTCGAGCGGAGCATCATATGGTGTTTAGTGAGGACTCATTGGGAACAGCCCAGAACCACTTCTTAGGAACATTCGCGACGCCAACGTGCTCTTCGTCATTCTCCAGGGTGTGAACTGGCGATTGATGGATCTTGTTTCAACTAGTTGTTTCTTTCGCACGGCAATGAGTTACCGGCCGGCCAACGGCCTTCAATTGCTGAAGCACTCTCAGAGGTCAGCTAGGGGTTTGCTGGCCGGTCGCTGGCTCACCGCTACAGCTGCCACAGGTCTTACGAGCTTGACTCTGCATCAAGGTGTCCGCTATTGGCTCGCTAAAGCTGCTGTGAGTGAGGTGACAGCAGTGGTGGCGAGGAGCCTTCTGCAGACAGATTCTCAAGAGTTTAGCCTGCCTGTTGTAGCTAAGCATTTGTTCTATGTTGGTGGCATCGTCTTGCTGCTTGAGTGGCTACCTCTCGCCTACTGGTGCCTTAGAGCTGTGGGGATCGCTGCCCTACGGACAATCTACCTGCTGGTGTTGTGTTACGAGATAATCGTCCATCTTTGCTTGAGAGTGGGGACGCACTGTTTCAATCATTGGGTCCTGCGGTGCACGCCACTTCGGCGAACAGAACAACGAGGGTTAACCTGCGCCGCAATGCCGGCCGGCGGGGCTGGAACATATCAGATTGGAACCTTTGCGGTAGTGGCCAGGCCTTCGTGGTCGGAGAGGGTCCTGGTCCGGGCGGGGGTCTTGCAAGGCGGGGCGGCAAATGCTGGGCCCCAAGGGGTAGGCGCGGTGGGTCTGCAAGGTGGAACGCCGCCAAGTTCATCCGTGGATCTGAAGGCCTTGGAAGGTGCTGCTCGGCAGTTGCAGGCCCTTTCGCTCCGGGAGCCGAGGGACAAGAAGGATCGGAAAAAGGACAAGAAGGCTGCAAAGAAGAAGCAAAAGAAGGACAAGAAAAAGTCCAAGAAAAAGAAGAAGGACTCATCCAGCAGTTCCTCCTGAGCCGGCAGCAGCGGTTCGAGCGGAAAGAAACCACTGCGATGAAAGGACAAAGGGAAGAGCAAACATGTGAAGTACGACGACCTTTCGCATGTGGATGGCCTGAAGTGGAAGAAGAAGGGCGACTTGGTGGCATTCGCGGCGAAACATCCTGGGGCATTGACGGCTCACTTCCTGGCGGGAGTGTACGCTCGGTTGTCCAAGGGGACGATGACGAGGACATCGCAACTCCGCGAGGCGTCGGTGGCAGCTTGGGCGCATCAGTTCACCGGTTTGAGCGAGATCCGGGATTTGAAGGAGGTTCTCACGCTGGCGGAAATCCTGGATTCGGTGAACCGCAGGGAGATCGAAAGGGCGATGGACATACTTTGCCAACGCATCTTGGCGATCCAAGTGGCGAAGATGAAGGGCGGCAGCTGGGAGAAGGCCGAAGCCATAGAGCTGGTGAACACACAGAAGTCCCTAGCCAGCAGCTCGATGCTGGCCTTGACCAATGCCTAAGCAGGCGTTTCAGGCGGGCCATGGGCCAGCCTGATGGTGGCAGCATCTGTTGTCAGGGTGGATTTGGTCAGTTCTATTCAAAGGTTGTGGCTGGTTTGGCCAAGGCTTTGGGTGGAGAGCACAGGACCTGCCCTCTGGGTGCACATGTTGCCCGGCTTCGTAATGTCTTGGGTGATTGCAGACGTTCGCAGGGGAAAGGTTTGAAACATTCTCCGGGACATGTTTTTCTTTTGCCGCCTCTCAGCGTTGGTGGCGTCGTGGTGGTGAATGCGACGGCTCTGTGCTCCGAACCTTGTACAGGACTCTAACCTGGTGATCGCCATCTTGAATTATTATTTGCACGGGGAGCATGAAGTTGTAGGTCATCGGCCTATTCTTTCTGCTGCCCATCGTCGGGTACATGCTCGGTTGCTTCGTACCTTGGAGGCCATGGTGTTGACTGATGAGCCTGTTATGTCGAATGAAGGGCTTGACATGTATTTAAAGCAGTCTGAGCATTATTCCGGTGGCGGGGTAGTGTTGGCTCTGGGTGCGGAGGGGGTGGAGCTTCATTTGCGGGACACTTTTCCGGAGATGGCACAGCAGGTCATTCAACCGAGCATGCTGATGATGCCATCCAAGAGGAGGCCTAGACGTGTCAAAAGGGGTTACACGCGGTTGGCTCCGTTCTACCCAGAGCTGGTTAAGCGCAATGTGAAGGCCGGGCTACACTGCTGGAAGAAGCCATCGCAGGTGGCTAAGCACAGGGGTGTACCTTGTCTGGCCGGTGCATTTGCAGTGCGAAAAGATGCCAATGAAGATCGGGTGATTACCGACCCCAGTGTGAACCAGCTGATTGACCAGGAAAAGCTCCCTCGTCCTCGATTTGCCTACATCCCGAAGCTGCGGGCCGTTACAGTTCCAGCCTCAGGGATCGTGATGGTGTCAAAGAGAGATGCCCGTCATTATTCCATCGGCTAAAGATTGGGAAGCTCTGGAGGCGTTGGTTGCGCGGGCCTGCGGTGGAAGTGGCATCCCCACATAGGCAACTGGATCGCTTGTTTCCCGCATCATGTTCGGCTCCTATGGGGTTTGGACCGTCAGCAGGATGGGTTCAGGGGCTTACAGATACCGTTACATCGAGGGCAGGATTGCCGCAAGAGCACAGGCTTCACCCTGATTTGGTTGTACCAGATAGCCTGCCTCTGTGGGGTTCTATTGTTGACGATGTGTGGGCCATTGAACATGCTGAGTCTCAATTGGAGGCCGGTACCGGGGTGGCTTGGATGGATGCCACGGAGGCATCATGGATTCGTCACGGTGGAGCCCAATACCAAGAAGAGTGTGGACTCGGCATTGGGTGAAGAGGTTCAGGGATACTACGTTGAGCCTCATGGTCACTGGGTAGGTGTGAGTCTGGATAAGCGCAGGCAATTATTCCAGGCCACCATCAAGGTGTTGCTACAACATCGGGTCATGGTTGGAGTGATTGACCGCCTAGTCGGCAAGCATGGCTTTGCACGCTCGGCGCGACCATGCATGAGGTCTTTGTTCGATAAGACGTACTCCTGGCTGGCTACGGTTCGTGGCTGCAGGCGGGATCGCGTGCGCTTACCCGATTCGGTGTGGGTAGAGTTGGCAGCAGCTTCGACTTGTCGTCAAAGTGGAGCTCCCGGGTGGAGTGCACCGACTCCTCCATGACTGGCATCGGTCGCGCATGGTCTGTTATGCCTAAACATGTGGTGCAAACACTGGCTAGGTAACTAGGTACTCTGACCATGGACGCGTGTATACCAACCTCAAATTGCCGTGGAGTGTGGGTCTCAATTCCGAGCACAAATGTCCTTTGAGACGAGTGCGCATTCCCATCGAGAGGGTCAGATGGCAGAAGTTGGGAGCACCTTGGAGCCCCCGTCATATCACTCTCGGTGAGGCTGATGCGGTCGCCTGGGCGGCTGAAGATAGGCTTCGCAGGCCGGGTGACAGTGGTTGCAGGTTCGTCCATCCGGTCGACTCCGCGGCTTGTGCTGGATGCTTTACAAACGGTCGGTCAAGCTCCCACAAACTCAACTTAAGGTGCCGCAGGGTCTGCGCTGTTAATGTTGCAGGGGGCCACGAAATATTTTATCCGTGGATGCCTTCAAAAGAGAATCCTGCTGACGAACCTTCGCAGCTCTGGGAAAGCCCAACCTTGGCAACCGGGCAGGCCATGGACGATGGGCAGCCGGTAGCTGATTCTGAGTTGGACCTTTCCCGGATCAGCTTGTGGCCCCAAGACGTGGTGTATTTCATTCATCTTTGTTCTGGGCCGCTCAGTCGCATCTTTCATTGATCGTTGTGGCGATGCTTCGGACAGTCACATCTTTCGTTGATCGATGTGGCGAGGCTGCTTCCTGTGATGCTGTTCCCGCAAAGGGTTTAACGTCCATTGCGGTATAGTCCGAAAGAAAATAAGTTTCTTTCCAGTTTCATTTTCTTATTCGAAGCATCAGACCACTTTCTCGTTGCCTCATTCTTTGATTTCCGACGCAGTACGAAGACCAATCCATCATAGGTCGCATTCTCGTCGAAGCGTCCTTGGCAGTACCATTGCACAGTTTTGCGCATTGCTGACAGTGCGCAGAAGCTCCCCTTCAGCTGGTGGCATGGCAACTGCGACAAATCAATCCTGCCAGTCTGGAAGAACTTCTCACCAACAGTCGCCGGAAGCATGGTCCAGTCATAGACATTGGCCATCTCGTCGGTGACATTCTCCTTGGCATTGGGAGACATCTTCCATTGGATGTGCCAGTCACCCTTCGTGAGAAACATTCGCTCTGCCTTGGACATTGCGCAGTCTCGACCATGCACTCGTTCGGGCCTTTTTGCACCGGGGTGATGCCCAAGCTGTTCATTCGCAGTCGCAAGCTCGACATTGTTGGACCATTGGAGTTCTCATCCGGGTGCATCCGGACAGTCCTCCACTCCTGGTGCCAGAGATCAGGAGGGACAGGATCGGAGCCCAGCCATCCTTCCACTCGTGGCGGTAGACAGCTTCAGCCAGTCCGACCTGTGCGTTGTACAGTCGGTTGGCCATGTCATTGACATCCATCTCAATCTTCTGCTGATCCTCTTCATTGTGGGTGGCAACATAGGAATCCAGTCGCTGCCAAATAGCAGTCACTTGCTTTCCAAAGCCCATTCGGGACAGTGCGGCTGACACTTGCCGATTCACAGGACCATTCCTTGACAATCTGCGGGTCGTCAAGGTCTCATTCATCAAGTGCAGTGACTCGACTGGACACACCGGTGGCAGTTTGGGAGTCGGTGCCCCTCCAGCAGAGGCGGAAGCAGTCCACTCCACATCCGGCTGATTCACAGGAGCAGGGAGGGCCCAGTGCGGCATCAATCCGCTGATTTCCAGAAAGGGCCTCAGTCGGACCTCCATTCCCAAAATCAACATCAACCGTAAGGACATTCGCTCCAGGCTCAGCATTCACTCTCACAAATGCAGGTGGGCGAACTAGAGATTCGCCAGTCGCCAATCGGATGCAGTGCAACCAGTGAGGATTGCACTGATGTCTTCCACAGGGCGGCCAATCAAGGCCGGCAAATCCACTGCCAGTTGCTTTCCAGAAATATGCTCATACTGGACTTCCGGAACAGTCGGCATTGTGGGTTGGGCCAAAGCGACACTCGAAGCAAGGAGGCAGTCTTACCGACACTACGGGCACTCTACCCTCGCACTAAGGAAACATTCAGAGGAAAAATCATTGGGTGAAACGCATGGATCTCAGTCAGCAAGGCAACTGTCTCAGACAGTCCCTTGCATCACAACCTACGCCCGCAGTCACTCGATTCGACATTCGGCGAAACCGAACGAGAAAACATCTTCGACAGATCCCATTCGAGATCGGAAAACTGAACCATCTGCCTCAGTGTCCTTTCCAAGGTAAAATCCGGAGAACCACTGCGATCCTCCTTTCGGAATCTTCACTTTCGAACTGATCGGCAGCTTTGCGTCAATCCATTCACCAAGCATGCACAGTGATCCATTGTACTCACGGGGCCATCTCCTGCTGTAACTGCTGTAGGCAGTCTTGCCATCAGCTCCAATCATGTAGCGGTTAATCAACCATATTGCGCATGCTTCACACACTAAGTGAACTTTGGAGAATCAGACGTCAACTTCAACCCAGTGGATTCTTGCACCTGAGTCAGCCTGAGACATCAGTGTTCTCAGTTGACCATACAAGGTCCTCTGCACATTACCGACACTCCCTTGACTGGTGGTGTCTAGTAAGGTCCTTGGCAATCGCCTTCAGTGGATTCTCCTTGTCATGCTGAACAATCCCAAACGTCCTGCCAATCTCAAACACAAACCGACGCAGTGCAACAACAGCATACTTCTCGACACTACCTGCCGAAGGCAGTACAATAGCCATTGCATATCCGGTCTGCACGTCAGTTGCATTCAAGATCGTCCTCTTCGGAAGGTCATTCTCCGTCGACAAGAAGGAGAAATCAATCTGAATCACAGGCTGCCGGTCATTCTTCTTCACTGCATGACTTTGTCTTCCCTTCGACTTGACATAGTGCTCGCAACAGTCTCGATAAGGAAGGTGAGTCAATTCAATTCGTGCAGTCTCCTTTCACTCTCCGACGGTTCACCTGGAATCTTCAACATTTGCGGTTTCAATGCACTCTTGTCATCAGTCTGCTGCTCTGCATTCTCGCCAGTAGTAGGCCGATCAAGGGGAACAAACAATGTATATCCAATCCACTTGTGACCAGTCGGGCGTCTCGGATCCTCGCACTTCTTGACAGTGCCATCGGGCATCTCAATGTCTGCCGCCAGTGTCAATCTGCGACGTGTCACTCGAAGCAACAGTCCATCCGCAGCTAAAGAAGCATCATCTGGGTGGAAAAAGCAGTCTCCACTCATGATGCGTTCGTATCCAATAGCGAGGAAGCATTATCCACCGGTCAGAAGTCCGGGGCGGTGGAGTTTACGGATTTTCGAGATTGAACACTTGCAACAACAACTCGTTCATTCTGCAGCCATGTTGCGGAAGTGACCGAAGGACATTCTCCAACTCATGCTCCTCAACATTTCGGCGCACTCTCATTTGACCATCAAACACGTCCGGCTCATTCCCAACGTTCTCCATTGTGCAAGATCTATCCGACACGTACGATGCTACACAGCAATTTACATGTGTCATCGGTTCTGCGGGATTCGACAACTTCATCATTCACCACTTGTGACTTATCACGTCCGATCATTGGATCATATGGACGTGGTGCAGTCTTCTGCACATGTCTCTTCTGTGGTTTATATTTCGATCCGAATTCCAATCGACCCCGCCATTCCTTGGGATCTTTAGGTCGGGTATTCTTCATTGACAGGAAATTCCCATCCCTGACGGTGACCGTCAAGCCATCTCTGTATTGCTTGAAAATCACTCCTTCTCCAGTTAATTTTGACCAGCGGCCATTGATGCATTGATGGGGCACTGGCGCTTTGTTCGCCAGTTTGATCCCTGGATCCAGCATTCATTCCCATTCCGCCACACGCGAACATGTCGGATCAGTTTCCGTTCCGACTCATTCACTTCCCACATGTCCCAACGGGTACCTTCTTTGGCTGCTGCAATCAATGCACCAGTCTGGAACAAGTGGTCAATCGAGTCGTCACGCATGTCCGACACTCCACGCAACTCAAACGATCCAAGTTCATCCTCAATTCCAGCCATTACTTCTGGAAGACAACTCGCTGCCATTCTAGCCGCATCTGCCACGGCATATGGTATGACAGTCGCAGTCAGATAGACCAGTGACCAGTGTGCCTTGTCCCACAATCGGCACAGGGTTGCCAGTCGGATCAATCAAGGCCATGTAGTCCTTCGCCATCACAGTCCAGAAGTCTTGCAGTGCACACGTAAAGCTGTACACTCAACGAGTGGCCATTGCCACAATCAAGCTGCGCAATCTTACGACCT